TCTTTGATGGCTGCAACACCATGTCTGACACCTTATGATACAAATAATTAATAAGAATTCTGTAAATAAAATCATTATAAATACCCTGATCACTCAATCGCCTCCTAAGGGTACGAACACTTGCAGCTGCAATGTTTGCATTGCCTTGAATTTGCGGCAGTTCTCAACTGATTCAGATTAGCCCAGTTGTTGGCCAGTGCGGCGTCACTGTGTGATTGGTCGTCCTCTGGTTCTGTGATCTTATCACGACCTCCACCTCTTGTGACAGTAATGAACGCCAGTTCCTGGTCATCGATTTTGCACCACTCATAATAATTTGGTTCACTGATCCCTAAAATTGAAAATTTTATCATATAATTTACAAATCTTTAAATATATTTATTTACCAACGATTCGGAGAAATGATTAGTCAAATCCTATTATAATGTATTAAAAACTTCTAAGAAATTATTAAATGATAACATTGTTTGCGATATTAAACACATATATTATAATTTTCTGGAATTTTATTTTCTCTCTAAACGTGTCATTCATTTTGAAAGTGTTTTGTTGATTATTATACAGAGAATGAGATCAATACTTTGGGCGATTTTAAAGTATTATAAAAAGTTTATTACTCATTCAAATGAAACTCTGATTCTTATTATTAATTCCTTATTTATCTATGCATTCATTTAAGGCATCAAATTATATGGTTAAAATTATCTTGATAGTATTTTTTGAATATAACAAGAGGCCTTTCATTTCAGACCTTTTAGTCCCATTGAAGCCCATTATAAAATGTTATAAATAAAAATCATGAAATTTACTGAATTATTTAAAAGTAATTTTATTAAATGTTTAAATTGAGTTAATAGACTTAGTACTCATAAATTAATTAAGAATATAATGATCAAAATAATTTATTAATTGAAATTTTAAGCTTAATAGAAATTGAGAATTTTTTAAAACTCAAAATGTGAAAAAACTAAATTATGACAAAATTATTTATGTATTATAATGTGAATAAAAGTTTTAGGTATGTAATATTTTGATATAATCATGTAAAATTAGTTGTTCTTTATTGATTATATAAGTTTGTTACTTGATATTTTTAAAATTACAATTTATAATCCATGATAATTGATTTTAGTGAGCTAAAAGGTCTGAAATGAAAGGACTCTTGTTATATTCAAAAAATACTATCAAGATAATTTTAACCATATAATTTGATGCCGTAAATGAATGCATAGATAAATAAGGAATTAATAATAAGAATCAGAGTTTCATTTGAATGAGTAATAAACTTTTTATAATACTTTAAAATCGCCCAAAGTATTCATAACTCATTCTCTGTAATAGGAAAAAGACGTCTTTTTAAATGAGTTTTTAAATTTACTTTAAATGTAAGTGTTTAGCAAAGTATGAATCATTTATTGGCTATTTGTTTGCAAAAATGGTGAATAATATGCACTAGTTTTGTATGATAGGAAAACTTTTGAAAGTTATTTAAGTAATGATTTAAGTTATGATTTTAATTGACATGATATTCAGCGCNAAAAATGGTGAATAATATGCACTAGTTTTGTATGATAGGAAAACTTTTGAAAGTTATTTAAGTAATGATTTAAGTTATGATTTTAATTTACATGATATTCAGCGCAAATATTACATATTAATTGACACTTTTTAGTCAAATTAAATTTTCAATGCTATAACTTATACGGCGCCTAATAAGCCATAAAATATCTCAATAAACAATAACTTTATTGTATTCACTGATACCTGTGTGAACTTTCATAAACTAGTTAGGGTGCAATATATCGTATATAATGGTAATTAAGTTTATAACTATTTCATTTACACGTAATCATTTCTACTTTGATTAGCAATATATTTATTTTAATCACGAACCCTCCATATTATGTTTAACAAAATTCATTAAATGTGTTCACATTGATACAAGTACATTTATTCTCTAAATCTACTTATTTATTGATCAGGTTTGTTTAATATAATTTGTATAGTAAATATTTATAATTGCAGTAACTATTTATGTTATACAGTATATCATTAATAATAGTATTTCATCAAGGTATTAATAAACAGATCCCAAGTATGTCGAAGAATGAGACTCAAGAGGAATATCCGAAAGACTCTTTTGATAGATATGGCGATGACTTGTGTGGACTCCTATTGTCTTATTTATCACTCAAAGACTGTCTCAGATTTGAATGTCTGTCCAAACAGTGGCAGCGATTGGTATTGAAACGACAACACAATCTTATTGTTGTTAACGAATCCATAGATAATAGAGAGATATATGCAGAGAAAGCCTTCAAAGCAATCGATTTGATTGCATTGGAATCGGTGGTCACAAAGTGTGCAAACATTACATCCATTGATATTCAGATCTATTCAGAAGAGACGCAAAGAGTGTTTGAAAGACTAATGGATTCATACAAACACTCATTGATTGCAATTCATGTGAGATTTGAGTATGAAATTGATGTCGAAATAATGGACACAATTCTCAGCAAATATGGCCCACAATTGACGGCAATAGATGTATCAGTCACACAATCGGCTTTAAAAGTATTGAGATCTCACGCAAAGTGGTTGACAAAACTCACACAACTCATGTTCGCTCGTGACATGAGGAGTGCGTTGTCAATGATTGTCACCGAAAACAATGAGATATTAGTCAAGAATTTAACAGAAATTCACTTTTCTTACATGGATTTTGAATTGCACCGATTGCCGGCATTTGTTGATTACTATAAGAATCGCTTAAAGTCTTTAAAACTTACTATGTCTTACACTAAGACGGATATATGCATTCCTGTACTCAAACTCATACCACAATTGAGAGCATTGCGTGAACTAAGTCTTGAATTTAATCGCATTTACGAGAATACTGTTGAGTCTATCGTTGACTATCACTGCAAAGAGTTTGTCAATCAATGGCCACAACTCAAGAGATATCAGTTGCGTATGAGTTGTGAAAGTAGTGCACAATTGGAAAGATTGTATGAATCGGTGGGTCGTATGAAAGGCTTACGACGAGTAAAGTTAATACTCTTTAAATTTCATATCACTGCTTTCATGAACGTATTAGTCATTGAATTGTCGCCCAAATCATTGTCACCACTGAAACGATTAACACATTTGGAGTTAGATTTATACAGATGTGTATTGAATGAGACATTCTTTGACTCAATTCACACACATTTACCACACATTCAGTGTCTGAGGCATACATACCTTGGTACAGATGGTAAGGTGACTGGCCATCAATATATCGACGGTATATTAAAACGTTACTAAATATACGATATGAGCACTCATTTGAGTGATTCCGACGGCTATTCCACAGATTATTAAACTTTTAGCATAAGTTCCAAACAATTCATAAGTATTGAGATAATGAACAAACTTTTTGTGGCAAAAGTTTCACAAACTCAACATTTGTCATACAATTGCTATATAGTATCTCGCTTGCTAATGATTTCCACTATTTAATGCTATGTTTAATGTCATACTGATTATTAAATAAAAATAATTAAATTATCAGGATATAAAATAAATTAATTTCCATACAAAAAAGTTTTTCAATTGACTTTTCACTGACAGATATAACACTCGTAATGACTATACGACCCCTCAATACAACACTGCATTCAATGCATTGCATGTCAACAATGAGTTCATAAGATATTTACCACCACTTCAGCCATGATTTCACGGATCAGTTGATCACCACAGACACCAACAATGGTAAGCTATACCACACGACACATACCACTCTCACCACAACCACCCAGACCTCCACTAACCCTCCAATTGTCTCGACAATAGTCACAAATGGGAAAAATGAAAGCCTTTTCTCTGACCACTTCCTCGTCAGTGAAGAAAGTGTTGGGAAAGAAAGATATCGAGAAACAGAAGAAGATCGCCGAAGAAGAGGCGGCCGCTAAG